CCCCATGGCCAGTGAGAGCTCAGCTTGCTGGTGGAATTATGTGAAGGTTGGTTGGGCTGGAGGAGGTTGGGAAGCTGAGCGGGGAGCGGCTGATGCACATGGTTTTGCAGGCTACGGTGAGAAATTTAAGATTTTATTCTAACTGCTCTGGGAAGTTCTGGGGAGGATTTATCAAGAAAGACACATAATCCTTTCTTAACGTCTTATTTAGAAATCATTATAGATTCACAGGACATTGTAAATATAGTACAGATCATCTTCTCACTTAGTTTCCCATATGGTAGTATCTTACATAACCTTAATATCAAAACCAGGAATTTGACATTGGTTCAATCCTCAGAACTTGCTCTAGTTCACTGTTTTATACATACTCATGTGTGTGTGCAGTTCTATGCAATTTTATCCCATATATAGATTAGCAATCAAGATACAGAACTTTTTTGGCAAGAGGCCAGAAGGTTATATTTAACCCCCAAATGTGATATTACAAGTCAAATTAAGAGGAGAAGTTTGAGGTAGAGGGATATATGCCTATGCAAGACAGGAGTACTTAGAAGATTAAAACCAATAGTTGACAGGGGCTAAAATGTTGGACTTTGTGTTTGGCATAAGCAAACAAGATTTAATATGTTACCAGGAAGGATTTAGGTCAGGACATTATAGTGACCATCCTGAATAGTTGGAATTGGTATTTTTTTTAAAAAGATTTCTTTATTGATTTGAGAGAGAGAGAGAGAGAGAACATCAATTTGTTGTTCCGCTTATTTATATATTCATTGGTTGCTTCTTGTAAATGCCCTGACTGGGATTAAACCCACACCCTTGGTTTATCAGGACTATGTTCTAGCCCACTGAGCTTGGAGTTGGGATTTTAAAGGGAAGGCCAGGAGAACAATTGAGTTTTAGCTTTGTAAATGTGACCTTCTAAACAGATCAACAGGGTGTGGGTAGGGAGATAATAATGGCTTCTTAAGAATCAGCTGAATAGGCTACGATCTGGGCAGGTGGTTGAAAGGGAGCCTTAAGCCGTATCAAACTTTTGCCATAAAAATAGGAACAAAATTATGGTGCCAACTAGCAGTTAGCTGTGGCCGTGGTATTTAAGAGGCCATTTAAGTATGGTGCCTAAGTGCCAAAGTAGAGACAAGCAGCTGCTGCATTGCCAGGTGGGGGCAGCCCATCACCTGCAGTGCCCCATGTCCAGGCTATTCATCTATCTACCAAAAGTAGGTACAGTCAAATCTTGGTTCTCGAATATCTTAATTCTCTAACGATTCAATTCTTGGCCAAGTTGTTTATGGAAAGAGTGTCTCTGTTTTCTAACAAAACTTTAGGTCTTGGTTCTCCATCTGACAACCCTTTCAGGCCTGATACCTGAATGTTCATTGACATGTCTCTCAGGCAACAAGGAAGATTCAATTTTCCAACAAACTGCTTCTTGAACAGTTTTCCAGAATGAATTCAGTGTGAGAACCAAGGTTCCACTGTCTAGCCCGGCTACAAAATGCCAGAAGGCCAAGCAATAGCATTTGTTCTTTGTGAGTGCTACATCCCGAGGCACGAAAAGTATCCTTTATGGCCAGGAATATTTGGCAAAGCTGTGGCTTAGGCTAGGCAAGTCAACATTATCGGGGTGCCAGAAAACTGGCAGATAGCTAAAGATGCATTCAATTGTGGGAGGATCATAACTCGTGATAGTTCAAGTCTTGGTCTAGCTACCTTCCCAATTAGGGTGGGAACAAGACCAAAAAGGATAGCTGAAAGAGGAGGAATGTCTTCTTCAATATGATCTTTGTGGACCCTGAAATGTAGTGTTACTGCAGAGGGCAAGGAAAGGTAATTTTTTCAGTGTATTTTGATTGGGAGTAGAGAGCCCTGAAGGTCAGGAATTTAGTATAATGAGGTCCAGTGGTAGGAGGGAGACCCATTTTAATCCTCACCCAAGGATTTAATTTTTCTTTATAGGTGTTTTTAGAGGAAGGGAGAAACAGCAATATGAGAGAGAAACATCAATCAGCTGCCTCCTGTACATGCCCCGAATGGGGGTGGAACCCGCAACTTTGGTTATGTGCCTTGACCAGAGATCAAACCTGCAAACTTTTGGCATACAGGACAATGTTCCAACCAACTGTGCCACCCAGCTAGGAGAGGAAGACCCATTTTATAAGATCATGTTATTTTATAATTTCTGGAAGGTGTAATTAAGCCACTGTGGCCTTTTGTAAGCCCAGTTGCCTGGGACTGATAGGGAAAGTAGAACATCTATTGAATGCCTTGTTCTAAAGTGAAAGCTTTCTTTAATGTCGGTAATGTCTGGAATTCTGTAGTGCACAGAGGGGATTTTTTGTGAGGCCTAAAATGGAAGCTTCAGCACTGGCATGTCTAGTGGGGTGGACAAATGTTTGGGTAGGTATCCACTGTCAAGTGGCAGTGGTCGGGGGGCAGTGGCCTGATAAAGGTGACTTGGTGAAAGCAGATCCATTTTATTGCCAGTGGCAGGTGTTCACACCAAGTGCAGACTTGTCACCATGTTAGCCAGGTAGAAGAGTGGGGAAGCTCTTTGTGTTCAGCCCAAGCTTCAAGGGCACAGATTCCTCTACAGCTGGTGTGTCCATTTTGCCAAAGATAGACAAATGGGACCTGGAGGGTCATTGGACAGTTTTCACCGGAGTTTTTGAAATCTGTTCTATCAACTTCCGAATTAAATTGGACCTTAGCAGTCCAAACTTTGGCGTGGGGAACGACATAGCTGAGCTTGATTACTCTTTGGGGCAAAGTAATTCACCCTAAAGAAGGCAGTCTTGAATGACACATTGTTGTTGCAATTAGATGCACTGAAGAGCTAGAATTGGCAATGGCACAGGAATCTGTGAAAGTGTCACTTCCTAATCATTTTAGTGTTTTCTTATCATCTTTGTTCTAAAAGTTATTTCCAGCTACTGGATTAGTACAGGGAAAATAAAGTGGTGTGCCTCTGGCAACTCTTCCCAACTCCATGTTCCATGACATCATTTTGACAGTTTGAAATCGGCCATGGTGGGAATATTTACATCAGGGAAATTGGAGAACACTACAAACCAGAATTTAATTAATTATATTACTGAAAGTCTAAACAAAGAGCATAATGGTGAAAAAGTGAATAATACAGATAAGTTTAAAAGTACATGGTATATATGTTCATTACATTGCACATAGCACAAAAAAATTGAGGAACAAAAATGAACTGTTTGTTAATGAAAAGGGAAGTAGCCACAATTCATAAAACAAACAAAAAAAATAGGCAAAAGATATGAACATTTTACCAAAGATTCACAGATGGCAAATAAACACATAAAAAAAAACTGCTCAACATCAAGAATGCTTAGAGAAATGCTATTAAAACAATTGCTTACTTATTAAAGGATAAATTCAAGTGATTGACCATATCAAAATACTGACAAGAATGTTGAAGAACTGGAATTCTCATATACTCCTGGTGGGTACACAAAAGCAAACCATTTCAGATCATGATTTAGCAATTTTTTAAAAGATTTTATTTATTTATTTTTAGAGAAAGGGGGAGAGAGGTAAAAACAGTGGGAGAAAAACATCGTTGTGTGGTTTCCTATCACGTGCCCCCTACTAGGGACCTGGCCTGCAACCCAGACATGTGCCCTGACTGGGAATTGAACCAGCAACCCTTTGGTTTGCCAGCCAGTGCTCAACCCACTGAGCCACACCAGCTAGGGCCAATCTCACAATTTACATTAAACAATTTACATCTTAAACATTTAGTTATACTATGAGTCAGACATTACACTTTGATTTTCTAACACAGGAGAAGTGAAGCACACATACATATAAAGTATTATATACAAATATTCTAGCAGCATTATTTGCAATAGTCAAACCTGGAAGTAACTCAAATCCCATAAACAGATGAATGGATTAATGGTCTATCCATAGAAAAAATACTACTCAGTAATAAAAAGAACTACTCATATAAGCATCATTGAAGAATCTCAAAGAACTATGAATGAAACCAGAAAAAACAAGCTTTTAACAGATCAAACCACATAAAATTCTAGAAAGTACAAACTAATCTATCACAAATAAAGGTAAATCAGTGGTTGCCTGGAGGCCTGGGGAGGGGAAGGGCAGATTATAAGATCACATAAGGTAAAGCTGATGGACATTTCACAATTTTAATGAAGTTTCATGGGTTTGTATGTCATGTCAGAATTTAACAAATCACACATGTCAAATAGGTACAATATATTGCATGTAAACTATACCTGAATAAAGCTTTATAAACTGGTTCAAAAGACAAATCTAGATCTCCCATTATTTTCAGAAAATCAGGTGTGTCAATCATATATTGACTCTGATGACCTTGGAGGAGTAGCCTTGCCTCAGTGGTAGCAAATATTGCTGAGCATTGACATCTATTTCCACCTAAGTCAACATTGCTGGACAAAGGGATTTTGTTTCAATCTATGCTTGTTTTTCTGCCTGTATAGCAATGGCTTTTCTGTGAACGTCCCAGAGTCTGCAGGAATCCACAAAACCAATACCTTATTTTCTTTGAAATGAACTTGGCTACAAAAGGTACACGTACCTGAAGGTCCTGAGAATTTATTTGCACACAGATCCTTCACAATCACAGTAAGAGTCACTGGGACGTTTTTGGTGCCATTTTATCAGGGGCACATTCCATCTACTTTGCTGCAGTCTCCTCCACTTCAGTGTTACTGTACCAATTATGGTCCCCGCCCCCCTCCGGGGCCTTGAAGTCTTATGGCACTAGCCTAGTGAATCCTGGGTATCAAGACACGGGTCCTTTGTAGGACCTGGGGTTTTTCCCTCAACATCAAGGTTGCCACAGCTTCCTAACTCTTCAGGGTGTTCCCTGAGCCCACCAGAAGATTCTGACACCCTATGTACAAATAAGGACCACAAATCTCTTCCTAGGAGACCTTGGTCAACAATGTGTAGAGAGGTATATCCTTCCATCACTGTCATCTCTGAGGGACACAGAGCTTTGAACCCGCATGACAGCTGTTTTCCCCCTTAATTCTGGCAAAGCCAAACTGTTTTCAAATAAGCTCACACGGTAAATACAACCCCAAAGTCAAAGATGGCTTAAACAGTACCTTTATTCTTGCAAAATCCAAGTGTCACAGGAAATTAACACGTCCATACATAGTCCCTCTTGACAAAGCCACCAGCAGAACTCAGATCAGGTACAGCGGGCAAAAACTGAGCGAGTTCCATGCCCTAACTTATAAAAGAGAAGGGAGAAGAACCCTGGAAAGGCAAAGACTACAAAGGACTTCCTTCAGCAGGTGGGGAGTGCAGAGGTTAGCTTCCCCGAGTTGGGTAAAGTGGTGACTGATGCGCTATGTGGACCTGCCAAGTGGTAGAGGTGAAATGAATTCTACCATAGAAACTGGCAGTGACATGTATCTAGCATGGGCCCTGGGGCAGGTCAGAAAGTGTAAAACACTTCCTTATAGATTCCTATACCCAGAATTTAAGAACTTTTCCACTGAGGATATTCTGATATATGGGTTTTAATTCAGGTAAATGGCTCCCTCAGAAGTTCTCTCCTCCAGTGTAACACTAAAAGAAATTGCACATTCCCTGTACATCTAAGATCTTTCTCCAGTGTGAAGTCTTTGGTGTTGAATGAGGTCAGATTTATAGCTAAAGGATTTGCCACATTCAATATGTCCATAAGGCTTTTTTCCAGTGTGAACTCTCTGGTGTCGAATGAGGACTGAGCTTTGGCTAAAGGACTTTCCACATTCCCTACACTTATAAGGCCTTTCTCCAGTGTGAACTCTCAGGTGTCTAGCAAGGTTAGATCTGCAGCTAAAGGATCTCCCACATTCTCTGCATTTAACATGCCTTTCTCCAATGTGAACTTTCCTGTGGTTCTTGAGGCTGGAGCTACGGCCAAAGGATTTTCCACATTCCCCACACTCATAAGGCCTTTCTCCAGTGTGAACTCTCTGATGTATAATCAAATTGTAGTAGTAGGTAAAGAATTTCCCACATTCGCTGCATCCAAAAGGCCTTTCTCCAGTATGAACTCTCTGGTGCTGAATGAGGTTACATCTTCGGGTACAGGCTTTTCCACATTCACTGCATTTATAACGTCCTTCTCGAGTGAGGAGTCTCTGGTTCTGAGTTAGGGTGTCTGTGCATCTGAAGGCCTTCTTGCATTCTCCCCAGCTGTGAAGACTTTTTCCACTGTGAAAGGCACCCTCACATTCATTACTGTTGTTTGGCTTCTCCCCAGTGTGAGTGACCTGTTGATGGAAATGTCGCAGGCTGCCCAAAAAGTCCTTCCCAATCTCCCCACAGATAAAGGGCTTCTCTGATGCATAGACAGTGCAGCTCTTTGCAAACAAAGCTCTATCCACAGAACTAATATGTTGCTCCTTGTACTGTTGAAGGTTGGCTGTGAAGAACAGTTCTTTACATGTGTTTGTTTTCTTCCCAAGATGTGTTCCCTGATGCTCAGCCAAATGCATAATATCTTTTAGGATCAGGCCACACATCTCAAGGAGCTGGGTCTTCTGGGGACCTGAACCTGCTTTAAAAGTCCCGCTCTGTGATGCTCCTTCTAAATAAATGCCCTCTTCAGCCCCTTCCACTCCATTCCAACAGCCTGAAAGCAAAGAAGTGATAGTGAAGTACATGTTAACTTTATTGGTCAATAAACCAGGGGGCAAAAGCATTACAAATGTACATCTGACACATTAAGAACCAGTCCATGGGATCGTTTTCAGGAGAAGGGAGTTGGGGTCAGACTGATGAGCAGTTGCTGCATACTACTGGGTCCCTAAGGTCACAAAATTAGGCAGGCCTTATCAGGCACAGGACATAAGAGAAGGGTGTAGCCTGGGGATAAAAGGCATTTCTACAAGTCATTCTTCTGTCCGTGAATTTGGGCAGAATTTCATCTGCTAGTGACATGTGATACTGTGCAGAAGTCACATCCAGTCCCAGGAAAATTTGAATAGAATAAAGTAACTGGTGTCAAGGATTATTAAAAGGTATGTGCACACGTTAGGACACAATAACACTGGAAAGCACCGTGCAAGGAATAAGGTGAGGACTGACTGAGATAAGCAGTCCAGAGAGTAGGGATTAGCCCCAGGGCTGGACTGCGAATGACAAATCAGCAGAGTCAAGATTGGACAAGGGAAGGTTGACGTAAGGGGACCACTAGTAATGAAATGGCCCCAAAACGTTAGTCAAACAGGATAGGTTCCTAATATACTGTGAACGAAGCCCTGACGTCACATCCTTCAATTGCCATTCACCTCGGTCAGGCCCCACCCCGAGCTCCTCTTGTTGAGACTGGAGTCATGTACATGCTGTGAAGCACAGAGGACTCCTCCCTTAGCCCCAGATGAGCAACTGCATGGGACCTGGATGATCCGAACCCTAAAGGAAAGACAGGACAGGTCAGTGGCCATTACTGGTCCAGAACAACTCAGCACACAACTAATCACAGGAAAGATATTAAATACTACAAAAAGTACCTCGGAACTCCTAGAGGGAAGATGGCAGAGTAGTACGCACAAGGAATCTGTCTCCCTACTCAGACAATAACTGCACTGACAGAATCAATATGACCATAAATATTTTGGAACTCCAGAGCCCACAGAAGGCTTGCAACATGTTAAATTGATTTCATTCTGATAAAGTTCAGCTTTTAGGTAGTATCAGTTATACATCCCCTCACACAGTTCCCCACACTGAGCCCATGAACATGTAACCAGAGCAGCTTGCACAAGCCAGGATCCCTGTTCTCAGGGATCTGTGCCTTCATTTCTGCTTCTGATGGTGGAGGTACAACAGAGAGGTGGGCAGCCACTGTTGCAAACCACACCACCATTGTTGCAAGGCCCCTACCTACCTCACTGGCTGAAGTGACTTTGCGGGGAATTTAAAGGGCAGGCATCTATTCCCTCCATCCCCTTTTCTTTCATTTTTCTCTTATTCCTCTGTTGAGAGGCAGAATTTAAAGGACCAGGACATTCAAAATCAATCATATGGGGGAAATTTAGAAAGTTATCATACATGCCCAGGGAAAAGCACAGGTTCAGAAAAACTCCACAAAGATCTTAAGTTTTTACTCCTCAGACTGATCTCCGGCACTGAGATAACCTACAACCACTAAACAAACAAACAAAAAAAAAAAAACCACCACCGCTCCAGCAAATCCTAGAGGATGGGGATCAGATTTCTTGAGTTGTCACATCATAAGACACAAATGTCCAGTTTTCAGCAAAAAAATCAAAGAGCATACGAAACAATAGGATAGTATGGCCCAATCTAAGAGGAAAAAAAATAATCATGTGAAACTAAATTAACTAAGAAAGACCAGGTATTGTACTTCTTAGACAAAGACTTTAAAACAACTATCTAAAAGATGCTCAAAGAACTAAAATAAAATGTGGACAAAGTCAAGAAAGCATTGCATGAGCAAAATGGAAATAACAGTAAAGAGATAGGAAACATAAAAAAGAATCAAGAAAAAAATTTGAAACTGAAATGTACAACTACTGAAAAAAAAAATCACTAGAGAAATTCAAAAGCAGGTTTGAGCAAAGAGAAAACCAGTCAGTAAACATTAAGATATCAAATATGAGGAACAAAAAATAAAAATACTGCACAAAAATGAACATAGCATAAGGACCTATGAGATACCATGAGGTGGATCAACATATGCAATGTGGAGACTCAAAAGAAGGAGACAAAAGGGCAGACAGCTTATTTGAAGAAATTATAACTGAAGACTTGCCAAATTTGGGTCTGTGGATGCCTGATTGTTAGGGCTATCCAACAATGAGAATGTACTAAATGCCACTTAGAAATGCTTTGTTTTGAAAATTCTGCATTTCAGTTTTTTGGTCCCAGAATTTCGTTCTGATTTCAAGAATCTGGTTGCAAGAAGCAGTTGTCATCCACTCATTCCTCTGCTAAATTAAGTAAAAAATGTATGGACAACTAAAATGAGTCTGGATTAGCCAGAGAACATATATGCATAACCCACAGACACGGACAACAGTCTGGTGATGGCCAGAGGGAGGGTGGGCAAAGAGGGAGGAGAAGATGGAGGACATCTGTAGTAGTGTCAACAATAAAAATAAAGGGAAAAAATTTTTTAAGAGCCTAAAAGAATAGAAGAAAGAGAGCCCAGAAATAGATTCTTGCATAGATGGTCAAAAGATTTTCAACAAGGCCAAGGCCTTCTTGAAAGAACAGACTTTTAAAGACATGACGCTAGGAAAACTGGATACTCACACACGTATGTTGGACTCTTACCTAACATCATACACTAACATTAACTCAAAAATGGATCGAAAGTCTAAACTTAAGAGCTACAAACTATAAAATTCTTTAAAAAACAAAACAGAGGAAAAGCTTCATGATATTGTATTAGGCAATGATTCCTTGAATATGACATCAAAAGCACAAGCAAAACAAGAAAACAGACAAATTCGACTTCATCGAAATGAAAAACTTTTTTCATCAAAGGGCATTATTAAAATAGTAGAAAAGGCAACCCGCTGAACAGGAGAAAATATTTGCAAATCACATTCTGGTAATGGACAAATATCCAGAACACATAGAGAACTCCTAAAATTCAACAACAAAAAAACCCCGAACAACTTGATTCAAAAACAGGCAAAAAACTTGCCCTTGACAGGTGGCTCAGTGGTTGGAGCATCATCCCATACACCAAAAAAAGGTTGTGTGTTTAATCCCCTGTCAGGGGGCATTCAGGAGGCAACTGATTGATGTTTCTCTCTCTCTCTTCCTCTCTATCTAAAATCAATAAACATATCCTCAGGTAAGGATTAAAAAAAAAAGAGGGGGGCAAAAGACTTGAATAGATATTTCTCTAAAGAAGATATACAAATGGCCAATAAGCATATAAAAGGTGCTCACCACTAATTATTAACAAAATATAAATCAAAACCACAACGAAATACAACTTAACCATTAAAATGGTTATTATTAAAACACACACACACACACACAAAATAAGCATTGCGAAGGAGAGAGAAATTTGGATCTCTGTGCACTTCTGGTGGGAATATAAAATGGTACATGGAAATATGGATATGGAAAACAATATGGCAGTTCCTCAAAAAATTTAAAAAATAGAATTATCATATGATACAGCAATTCCAGTTCCAGGTAGTACCCAAAGGAACTGAAGCAGGGACACTAAACATATTTGTACACCTGTATTCATATCAGCATTTTTCACAAGAGCCCAGTGATCATCAATGGATGAATGGATAAACAAAATGTGGTACATACATACAATAGAATATTATTCAGTCTTAAAAATAAAGGAAATTCTGACACATGCTACAACAGATATGAATCTTACAAGGGGTGTCCAAACTTTTGGCATCTCTGTGCCACAATGGAAGAAGAGCTGTCTTGGGCCACACAATAAATACATTGTGACACATAATCACAAAAAAACTCTCATAATGTTTTAAGTAAGTTTATGATTTTGTGTTGGGCTGCATTCATAACCATCGTGAGCCACATGTGGCCTTAAGCTGCATGCTGGACACCCCTGGGCAATGTTATGCTAAGTAAAATAAGCCAGACACGTAAGTACAATTAGGATATGATTCTGTGCACACAAGATACTTTGAGGAGTCAAGCTCATAGACGTAGAAAGTAGAATGGTAGTTGCCAGTGGATGGGAGAGATACTATTTAATGTGTAGTTTCAGTGTGCAAGATTATGTTCTGTGGATACATGATTGTGATGGTTGTCCCATAATGAAAATGTACTAAATGCCACTTAGAAACGGTATTTTGTTATGTATATTTTACCACCAATTAAAAAAAAAAAAGAATCTTGGAGGAAGATCTCATAAGAACAGTCTGTGAAACTAGTAACCATAGAAGTGACTACAATTCCTGGCATAGTCAGATACAAATAAGTATCAGATAATAGGAAGGAGCAATACTAGGGTTCCATGGATCTAGACAGTCACTCAGCAAGGGAGAGCGCAAGACAGGTGGGATCCATTAGGCTGACCTCAAGACTACTAACCCCCAATCTTTCCCTGTGAGGCTTTGGGGAAGTGGGCACTGGGATGGTAAATAGAGAAGCATGCATGCACTCAGCCTAACCACAGCAACCACTATACACACCCATGAAACCAGGAAAGAGATCATGCCCATGCTTCAGACGTGAGAAAGACAAAGTTGTCCCTGGGAAAGAGAGAAAGGCAGAAACTCAAACAGGGCAGGAGGGTGGATGTGAGAGTCTTACCCAGGGAGGATGTAATTGCAAAGTTCTCCAGCATCACATCCTGGTACAGGCATCTCTGCGCCTCATCAAGGAGCTCCCATTCCTCCCAGGAGAAATATAGGGCCACGTCCTCAAAGGTCACAAGTCCCTGCCAGGACAGATGAAACCATGAACGACCTTACTCTTGAAAATCCACAATCTTATCTCCCCACACATCTATCCCATGTCCATCCTCCTCCCAAGATCCCCAAATTAGAGGAGATACCAAACCCTGGGTCCATTTGAGTCTTTTCTCATCTTCCCATTAATCATTCTGTTCACTGTTTTCCACTCCATAACCCGATGCAACTCTACCAAAGTAAGATCACCTCCCTCCTCTGACCCAGGCCTCCCACTGGCT